ATTAACTCATGCTTTTGCTATTCTTGCATTTAAGAAATCTAAGAATGGTGGTGTTTAAACAACTTATAATGCTTTAGCTAAGACTGCTAATTCTTATTAAACAGATGACTATATAAATTTGATAAGATTACCACAATATCATCATGTATTTTAAGATTAGCTGAATAATTATTATTTTCAGTTCTTAATCTATCTTAATAAGCTTTAAGATCTGCTTATCTAGTAGATATCATAGTTTAAACATCAGATATTCTAACAGTTTTATCTTCTCTTTCTTAATAGAAATCAGCATATTATTAATCAAATACTGTTTTTTCAGATGTTAATTATTATCTTCTTAATTCATCTTATTATTTTTAACTGTCTTCATCTTTATATGCTTTAGTTAAAGCATCAAATATATTTAATCTTAAACTATTTAAGAAATCACACATTTCTTTTAACACTTATCTATCTTTAAAATTAAATCCTTCAGTTAAATTAGTTAATGCTTAAATGAATGATGAATATTAATGTCCAAATTTTTCAGTATTTGATTTAACTTATCTTAAAGCTTTATTAACTTTATGTTTTTATTCATCTGAAATTTCAATAAAAGCAGCTCTAACTTCACCAGATTTAAATAAATCAGTTAATAAATCTAATGCTTCATCAATATTTCTTAATGCATCTGTAAATTCAGTTGTTGTTAATACAAATGAATCATGTTATGTATTTATAACAGCTTCAGCTTCTTTAAATGATTAATTATTATCTGTTTATTTAGCTTTAAGTCCTAATAAAATCTATTAATTTAATTAAGATTATAATAATAAATACATCATCTAATTCTTAAAGTCTTGGAATTAATTCAGAATTTAATACTTTCTTTTCTCTATTAATATCAAATTCAGCTTAATTAGCTTATGAACTTAAAGATATAACTTTAGCATTATGTTCACCTTCAATAGCTTCCCATTATGTATTTTCTAAATTTAATCTTTCTTCAATTTATCTTCCAAATGCTTTTACTCCTTCAGTAAGTGAATCAACTGCTCCAGTAACTCTCATTGTCACTTCAGCTAAATCAACAACTAAATGTCCAATCTTTGATTATGTTAATTCATCAATCTACTATTACACACCTGGGTTAACATATTAATCCATAACACCTTAATTACTTACATTATATTATTCTATTACTTTTAAATCTTAGTTGATGCGACAACACAAATTAGAGCTATTAAAACAAGTTTTTTATATGTCATAGTTGAATTCGTTTTTTATAAATTATAATGCCTGATAAAATTCTCTTATTAATTGAAATGATTAAAAAAGATACAATAAAATATTGAAATAATTATTTCGTAATTTAATGCTTCTAACAATAACTAGATAGATTTATATTTATAATATATCTAAAATGAAGTCAATACATAGAATTTATATAAATATTTAATTACATTTGAGTAAATAAATGAGGGTTTTCAATTAGGAGTTATGATTCCTGTAACAATATTAAAGCTTCTTTTTTTTGGAACATATCTTTAATTCAAAGGAACGATGGGGCTATTTCCAATAAAATTTGAATTCCTTTATTTTTGAGAAGGAGTGGAGACCTAGATTTTTTATTACTATTATGGAACTTATTAATTCAAAGAATTTGAAGCTTATTTCGATTATTTTGTATGTTTAGAGCTTTCAGATCTAGTTCCATCTTATAAATGAATTTAGGCTGGATTTATAATTGTATGATTATTGTTTATAATCTTTTGCTGCTATTGTAATAATTAATACTTTATTAGATCTCTATCAAGTAATTCTAATTGTTTTTTACGTTCAATAGGATAATAATTATCTTGATAAATTCTTGGTAATTTATTTTAAGATTCATTCTGGAGTAATTTTAATTCTTATGGATTACTATATTATTATTATTTTCTATCTAATAATAATTCATAATTTTCGGTCTCATATTATTTATAGGCTTAATAATTTTTGAGTTTATTCTCCATCATCCTTTACTTTTCAAATTCTATCTTTTACTCTACCTTCTATCTTTCTTCAATCTTCTTTAATCTTAATTCTTCCATTTATTTTTATTTTTGTTCAAGTTACTTTTATAAATCCTCTTGATACTTCTTTGTATCTATTTTTCCTCTATTATGTTCAATTGTTAAGGTTAGAATAGATGGTTGAGTATTTTGTTATTACTCCTGTCTCAACTTTCTTTTATTGTTGATCATATCATCATATGTATATTTTAATAGTTTTGCTTCTTCTTCTTTTTTGTATTTTCTTTCCTCTAAACTTTTCATTTCCTTCACTTATTCCTGTCTGATGAATTCCTTATCTAATTATTAGTTGTTGTATGATCTTTCCAAATTCTTTTTCTTTTTAATCATCAGATTATTAAGGTTATCCAAACTTGTCTGAATTTACTTAATCTTTCTTTCCTCCATTTCCTTTAATTTCTTGGATTCNTGACAACATACAAGATCATGGCCATACTCAAAAATCTTTTCATTTAATTCGTTTTTGTAATTAATAAGTGAATTTCATGAATTTCATAAATTTCATATATATCAATTTATATATTCAAATAAGCTCATCCTCATTTTATAAGTTTTATTACTAAGCGAAGCTTACGATTTCATTTGCAAAGAAAAACCAACTGCATCCTCTATACCAAAAAGGGAATTTGACTCTCAATCGACTAAATAATTTGTAGATCTCTTCATTTCGTTTAAAGGCTTAAAATAATTTTTCATGATAGTAATAGAGTGAAGGTTATTTTTCTAATTAATCTTGATGAGAATCTGGAGAGAACATCATAAGAAAATGAATTATAGATATTTCTGCCAATCTATCTTGTTAATTTTGAGATAAAGTTTTACTAATTTCATGTTTTAATTAAACAAGACTAAGAATGACTCTTTTCTGTACATTTTCCACATTAAGTTTTCTCTAAGAAATAATATATTATATTTACTTTTAATCTAGTTCCTTCTCCTTAAGTGAAGTTCGTAAAATATCCTGTGTATATTTCATATTCATTTGTAAGATCATACATCTTCCTTAAAGAATCAAAGTTTTCAAAAATATGATTTAAACATTTTAGAGCATTCCTACAAATGTTTTCAGTTAAATATTATTAATACTCATTTTAATAGTAATTTTCGTACTTTTAGGTTGAGTTTTCTACTTAAACCAATTCATCTTCCTAATAAAATTTATAAATAAATCTTGTGTCTATTTCTGGCAATCCTTTTTGTGTATAACCAGCAAAGACAGCCTATTTTTCTTCATTAATATGATTTAAGACTTCCCTGTAAAGTTTCCCTAATATACTTGTTGACTCATAAACAAAAGTGTCTTTTTCCATAAAATCAGGCCATTTTTTAGAGATAAGATCTTAAGGAATCTCTACTTTGTTGCCATGTTTAACATAATCAACTGCAGCAGAATGTAGTTCTGCTAATTTGATACATTTTTAATCTTTGGCATAATCTTAAGATCTATCTGCTATGGCAAGATGACTATTATCAATTTTGCCTAAGACATCGAAATTAAGATATTCAAGTAGAAATTCAATCATTTTATCTTCTTAAAAGAATTCTTCTGCAGACATATAACCTTGAGCATGAATTTATGTTGTTGCAGCAGCACCAGCAGCTGGTTTTTTTTCTTCATCATAATTCATTGGATTTTCAATTGTCCTAGGTATGACTTTTGGGTCCCAAGAAACAAAATATATATCTCCATCCAAATCACCTCCACCACAATCAGCAGGTATAGAATTTCCTTTGCATGGGAAAACGATGCAATTAAAATATTCGGCAAATGGATTATTTTTGTTATATCTACTTAAAATTTATTCTTCTGATAATGCCTTGACTTTTCGAATATCTCCAGGATGTAAACATGGATTTCTGACAACAATAATTTCTCCAGTGACATAAAAATGTTTTACATCTTGAGCTTCCTTTACAATACATACAACCTCTTAAGAATATAAATGATTATACCTCCTTCTTTTAAAATATCATAATCATCAACTACACCCAAAACTCTAGCTGCTTTATCCATAAGAATGTTGGACTTAGTTCTTAATTACATAAGTCCTCTTCTTCTCAATCTATCTAAGACTTTTTTAATAAAAATATTATTATTTTCATTTTGATTTGCATTGATCATCAATCTTATACTATCTATAATAGATGGCAAACCTTATAACTCTCCATTATAATCTACCAAGAAATGTTTATAAATTGATGAATCTATTGCAGATAAATTTTTAATTTTCTCCAAATATTCTAATAATATAGATGAATTTAATACCATATTGGAGTTGCATAAATACATTTTCTTAAATACCTAATGTTACTAATAATATAATTATTTATCTATTTAAATATCCTCCTCTATATTTATTGTAATCTAATAAGGAAATCATATTAGTGTAATTTCCATCATTTGATAATGCTGGATTGAACTTAATCATGCTCTTTCTCAATTCAATTGTATTATCAGGTAAATCATCATTTAATAATAATACACCCTTTGCACCATGATATCTAATTTAAATAGCTGAAATTTATTGATTATTCATTTATCCTCTTATGTTATTTATCAAATTTCTAGATATCTTACCTATTCCATCTGTGAATAATTTTCCATTTTCACCTACCTTATCTGGAATTTCAATCCTTACTATTAATTATTAAAATTCAATCGATTTACTTGAACTGAAATTCTAACCTAATCTAGCTGCATTTTTAGCCACTTAATCTCTATTTAATTTGTTAAAGTTTCCTATAGAATCTATGAAATTATATCTTGTTATCTAAGCTCTATTATAATTAAATATCCAACATGAACCTCCTCTCAATTAAGATGCACTCCAAGTTAATAATCTAAATTCTTCTCCAAATAATTTCAATCCATTTTACAATTTTTATTTAAAGAAATATTCAGTAATATAATGATGTCCATGGATTGTTTCCATATTTTCATCTTCAAAATGCAATCTTATGAAATTATTCAATTAATTAAAATATTATCTAATTATTACACTAGTCTCTTCAGGCAATTTTATATTAAATTAATACCCTGAAGGTGTTAATGATACTCTTTTTATCATTGCTATTCTCTTCTATTAATCCTCATCAATTAGACTAATCACATCTTCAGTACATCTTTATAAATCTCTTTTAAAAGTTAAATAATTCTTCTTATTCAATTCTGATTATCTAACTGAAAAATTCAAATCTGTGCTATATCTAGAAAACAACTAAAACGTAGATTCTAATACTTTTTCCCTTAATTAATAATCATTTTCATTATAATTTAGAATTATGTTTAAAAGACTTTTTAAATAATTAACATCTGTAATCCTATTCTATGAAACCACACATAAAATATTGTATTGCTATTCGAAACTTAATTAACTGCTCTGTATCGCCTTTTAAAATTAATCATAATCTTATCCTCTATTTTCGTATTCTTTAAATGATAGATCAATTTCTTCTGTGTACAAAAGATTATATAATTTTAATTTCTCTATTACCATTTTATATTCCATCTCTTCTTTAGATTCTTATTTAAATACAAATTAAGCAGTAATGATTGTATTATTAATTATTATCAACCTTTCTATTTCATTCTAATATTTTTTATAATAAGCATTAGAAAATATGTTATGAACTCTGATCCAATCAGTTTTCACATTAAACAATTCAAACTTTCTTTTCGTATTCAATGAAATACTATAATTTGGTGGACACAATAATTTAAAATACATTTTCTTGCCTGAACTATCAGACACAGCGTGACAATATTAACAATTTACTAAATCAACTTCAATTTTTAATAAAAATTTATCAAGAATATTGAGTATGAATTCCACTTTTTTTGCCAATTTAGATTCCTCATAATGGAACATCATTTGAGCTGATAACTTTTTTAATTAGTCTTGTAAATCTGAATATTTAAAATAAGGAGACAGAAACAAATTGATAGGATCCTTCTGTGGTTAATCTATGTTTATTTCTTTAATATATTCTCCTGTAACATAAGAAAAGGTTAAATTATTCAATTTAAAAGGTATTTTACCCATTTTTATAGAATAATCTTAGTTTTACAAATTATCCTCTAATAGTTATGCATTTCTAAAATTTATGTACACAGGTTAAGAATTTGAATTGATGTGAAAATGGAATTTCAAAAACTCCTTCAAATACTTTTTCTACATTCTTAAAGTAACAGTGAGTGGACTATCTAATCTTGCATCCAAAGGAGCTTCATTTAAATCATAAAGTTGTATGTCCAATTTAGAAACTTTGTTCAATGCCTTTTCTAATTTTTCAACTATTTAGTTAATCTCCTATAATTTATTGATCTTATTTCTTTTGGTTGCATCAATCATTGTAATATCTATGGTATTTTCTTATTCCATTGAAATATCTTAGAATGTGATTAATTATTCTTCATCTTCAACTTCTCCATCACTTTACTAATTACTAGAAGGCTAGGCATCAATATTAATAATGCTATCCTTGAGTAAACTTACTAAAAACTTATTATCTTTGTAATTGTTGAAATTTGGTTCACTTATAATCTTCTAACTAAAATCTTCATCAGCTAATTGAGTTCTAAACTCTACTTTTAGTACCTATAAATATTTTTCAATTATTGTACATTAATAGCATTTCCCTCGAATTCCTTATTAATTGCTTATTAGAGAATTTCCATAATTTTTTTAGCTGTAATTGTACTCAAATCTTACTTTTATAAGTTGTGCAAAGCAGGTTTGATTATAATGTAATCATCATCAGAAAATTTTGATAAAGCATCAATTACCTAAATTATAGTGAATTCTATATACTTGTTTTGATAGTTCAAATTCTTTCTTCTATTAGTTTTGGTTCATTGTTAAAGAGTACTTTATTTAATATTAATTATAGATATGTAAAATCAATTAAATTTCTTAAATGATCATTATAAATTTGTTTGCTCTTCCTTTCTTATTTTTAATTCCTATTTGTTTAAATTAAGAAAAATCCAGAAACTATGATTAATAATAAATAAGTTTAATGTGACAAAATCTAAACCCATATATTCAAATAGTTTAAGTAAAGATGGCTTATCTGCAGTATTAAAATATTAAGAACCCCAATTTAAATTTATAATTTTTATTCTTTATTTATTCATTAGAAAATAATCTGAATTAACTTTTATTTTTATGCATTAAATTATATTAGATAGAATGGATTATGAAAAATTGAAATAAATATACAAAAATTACATTATATGTTATTATTCAATATATTATCTCATATTTTTAATTTATTATATTAATAATATAAAAAAATGCTTCTGAATTGCGTAATTATTTGGACATTATTACATTTCGTTCAAAATTGTATTGTAAGCTTATCTTATTATCATAGTTGAGAAATTA